GTAAGATAATGAAAGTTGTAAAAGAAAAGGAGACAGAGACCAGGAACTATTTATATAATAAGGGAAAAACCACTACAGGAACCGGTGAGAGATTTAGGAATGAATATAATTCCAACACTAACACTGGAGACAAACAGGATAACATGTGAACGCTGGTGAACATTAGAACAAGGTTCAGAAATCTAAGCCAGGACGTCAAGGCACTCTACTCAACATTTGTTAGAACAATACCAGAATATGCAGCACCAGAATGGAATCCATATCTTGTGAAGCATAAAGCAAAAAATTGAAAAACTGTACAGATCTGCAGTAAGATGGGTGCCGATCCAAGAGGGTTAAGCTATGAGGATAAGCCAACAGGCACATGAAAGCTAGCAGACGGGGAGAGGGCATAAGAGCTAGATCGACTTCTCTATCTCGAATACATTGAAAGGTAAGCTGATAGGCAAGTCTCCCTCACCCATCATCCTTACCTATCACCCATTACTCACAACCCTTCACCCGACAACCCGTTCTCGCAAATTCGTAAAGTCAATATTGACTTATTAACTACGTGCATAGGTGATATACTAAACATAATAGATACCCTTAAAAAGATTCATAGAAAACACCGACCTTACCTAACCTTGTTAGTATCTTAAGATAAGCATCTTATTGCTTTGTAATTACAATTATTACTTAACCTATACCTATCACCCGACACTCATCACACATAAGAGAAATGCAAATAAAAGCACTATTTACCGGAATGAAAATTTTGTCCACATGATTGAAAATGCAATTTCTTTTTTAACAAAATGTTACTGAAAACATTAACTCTGTCATCAAAGGCGGTTTGATTTGGCCTTTCACACTGGACACGCATTGACTACGTTCTTTTTTTATTTTGTATTCCTGCGGAAAGTACATAACATTTATTAATGAAAACAATTCCAGGTAGACCACTAACACTTAACACCGCCACCACTGTTATCAACAGAGTAGTCTGGGAAGTGAATCAGGATATTTGGCAAGCAGATAAAGTGAATACATTGAATCTGGAAACAGTTGATCCTGCAGCGCTGCCAGACGTATAGGTAATTATTGCCATGAAAGCTCCTGGCAAGTTTTAAAATAAGATAATGTTAAAATTAGTTAATAAACACTCGGAAGGTTACATTATATATGATATAAATAGGCGAGAGATCAATGGTGGTCAAATAACTCTTTGTAAATATATAATCAGTTCAGTCGATTCTGAGGCACCGTAGGAACAAATTCAGTCGAGAATTGGACTGGTTGGAGGATGGTCACATTGTTTTTACTAATGGGAAATTGACTCAAGTCTATTTGTGTGTTCAGTCTTGGCTACCAATCTACTTTGATAAATATATTTACAGCACAGCTGTGGAGCACAGTACTGTGTCATGGTAGGTCTACTAAGAGTATACCACAAAGTATCATACCACCACCAGTACCTCCTCCTCCACTCAAAAATAACGATCAAGTCATATTTCCGATAGGTATCGTATTTTGAAAACGGCAGATAGACTTGGGCAAAATTTTACTTTTTATCAAAAGTCAATAACCCTATTTTCACTAAATTGAATATTTTCGGTATAAAAAGTCATAATTTAAAACTCCAAACATGTGCAATCATCTGGAATTTTGCTAAAAAATAACACTAGTCAAAATATCAGTTTCTTTGTTATAATGTCTACAGAAAATAACCAAAACGTAGTATTTTCAGGGTAAAATAGTTAGTACCGACTGTTTAAGTAGATTTCACTAGAAAACAGTTCAAGTTAATTCTATTAAAAAGCTTACTTTGAAATGAATATGAGTACTTATCATATATTCATCACTTTATTGCAAGAGAGCCGTATGGAGATACTAGTTAGGTTAAAGAGTTACATCTTTGCTCTACCAGATGGAAGCTCTTTGAAGTCTTGGTCAAAAAGTTTAGTCACCGTCAGATTCTGAATCATAATAATATTTACCTGGAAGTGTCTATGTACATAATTGAAGGTGCTTTGACTCAAACTAATTTTCCAAATGGGCCAGTCAGCTCTTCAAGCCGCTTAAAATCCCAACATGCAAAATGGATGGTAGGAATGTCATAACATCCATTATAAGCATAATTCATACAGAGCAAGAGCTCCTCATATGTATAGCTACCATCTAACAGGCGTTGTTCAGCACAACAGACAACACAGCAAAAACTGCATGTGATAAGCCTGAAATTCAGTTATCCAGGCATCTTGAGGTTATCTTGAGATGATTTCGGGGCTTTAGTCCGGTCGCGGCCCGGCCCGCGACCAGACCTCCATCCCCAGGAAGCAGCCCGTGACAGCTGACTAACACCCAGGTACCTATTTTACTGCTAGGTAACAGGGGCATAGGGTGAAAGAAACTCTGCCCATTGTTTCTTGCCGGCGCCCGGGATCGAACCCGGGACCACAGGATCACAAGTCCAGCGTGCTGTCCGCTCGGCCGACCAGCTCCCTCGCATTCCAATGTGTTGTAAAAGGTGCAGTATATCAGCAAATCGGGAATGGTCCTTGCACTCAATGGCCGGAAAACACGAGTATAAAGTTGTTTTAGAACAAAGAACCATATGTACTGACAGCACAAAACATCCACTAGACAGTGACATTGTAATTATCAAAAGAAGGCACCAAGCCGGGAATGCTATGTAGCTCCATCAAATGTGCAGGATATTCAAAAGGCATTAAATGTCGCTAAGTATGTGTGATATTGTAGTTGCCAGAATTAGGCTGGGAAATTGATATGGCAGGTGGCTGCATATAATGACTCCCCCAATAGTGAACATTCCAACTGTGAACAAGAGCTAGGACATACTCTCCAACACTACCTAATTTCTCCTGTAATAAATGATTTGAGAGCAAATGGTATAAAGTACTTTCAGGTCTACAAGTACTGTACTTCATACTTGCATTTTGCAAGATATTATTGTGCTCTCCCCAGAGTTTGCTTGTGCAGACTAACAGATCAGCCCACAATTTCATGTTCTCTTCTGATACCACGCATGACTAACCATCTTGTGAGATGGGGACATAAGACGAACTTATAGCTAGTTTTTATCTACACTTTTGTAATCTTAATCATCCCTATACAATTGGGTATCAGCACATTATTTGTTAATAAAAAAAAATCTTTGATTTGAGCCTATGGCTAAAAATGCTGGGATTTTGGGGAGGGGCATGGAGGGCGGTGTCAAAATCTACCCTAAATGTCAAATAGATGTCAAATCAGTCATCGAACATTACTTACATTTAATTGGAGTCAGAGCTGTCTAAATTTCCCCTTCGGCACCAACCTGTGGAAACTATGTAGCACCATTAAAGTTGCAGGAAATTCAAAATGCGCTAAATATCACTAAAGATGTTAATATGAGAACAAAAGGACATAAGGTGAGCGATTCATCAAGGATTCTATCAAGGAAGACATGGCCAAGACAGTTGGAAAACAAGAACGACCTGCAAACAGGACATTCAACAAGGAGATGCACGGCTGTAAGACTGACAATGAGGAGGTGGTCAGTGCTTCATTAAGTAATTATCAAAAGGTAATTATAATTGGGGGGTGTCAGTGAAGGGTAGTACCTCTGAAAAGGAATAGCCACACCTTTGGGTGGTTTGTCTGCTTTGGTCCCCTCCTGCACTCAACTCTCACCTGTGGCTCCTAGTAGCTGCTGTATGCAACAGCGGCCACACCTCAGGGTAAACTGCTTAGACTGGTGGACAATACCAGGTGAGGGTAGCCAAAGGTTTGAGGCCCTCTGTAAGTTGAGGCTTGCCTCCTACGCATGCGAAAACTGAACCCAGCGGACTGCACAGAAGAAACAACCAGGATTGTTCAACGGCCAGGAAGGCAGACCCAACAAAGCATTGTGGAGAGCAACTAGGGCGCAGTGAAACGTGCAGGACACTGCTGGCCATCCACTGCATCCTAACCTATCTCCTACCGTCTCGACTTATCATGCTGCTGAACCCAAATCGGCCGGGGACGAGAGAGTGAGGCTAACGATTTGCGTAACTCTCCCTCACTAAGCCAAGTAAGTAAGTCATGACCTCAAACCATATATCAAAGTCATGGTCATCTTCAACAACGAAGGATGAACATTATCAAAAGAAGCTACAAAGACTTGTGTTGCACCATCAAGTCGCAAGACATTCAAAAGGCGCTAAATATCACTAAGGATGCAATACGAGAACAAAAAGCACATAAGGCAGATGATGGCAAAGCTATCCGATTCGCCAAGATTCTATCGAGGGACAAATATTTGACTGGGGTCCTGAAAATCGGGACATTCAACAAGGAGATGCACAACTGTAAGAGGGACAATAAGCCTGGTCACTCCGCAACAAGCCTGTGTTTGAGGTGCAGTTTTGTTATCCAAATACATTCAAAAGATTCGGCCCTGGAGCCGAGGGATATACCTACTAGAGCACCGAGGAAAACCTAGTGCAGGCCAGTGAGGAAAGGATGCATTGTCCCAAGAGGTGTTCTGTCAACCTTTTTAACAGTTCCAACTGCATCATACACTCGTCTACAGTGGTGCAAAGACAACCTTCTTTCTTCGCATTCTATCCTGAACATCCAACCAAGCCCCTCACGAGTGACTGCTTCAGTGGGTGGTCCTATGACCCAAATGAGAGCCCTATGTTGAATTTTTTCACATATACAATGCCTGGAAAGGGGCCAGGAGAGAAGGACAAAAGCAATCTCTACTGGCCTCAGGGAGTCATACATGAACCCCCACCTCACCATGACAAGGCAAGACCTGAGTGGAAACTAAACTGAAAATTGAGAGAAAATAATGACCTGCTCAAAAATATATAAAAAAAAACATTCACTTGTCATTGTAAACGTATGTCACACTTGAGTTAGAGGATTTTCCAAACAAAATACAAAATTTAAATCCAAAGCAACTTGAAAATGAGAGAGACAAAAGTCTCGACAACTTCTTAGCTTGTGTCTTGAGTAACATTTAAAACTTAAAATTTTCATGTATTTCATAAAAGAAAAAATTCCACATTAATTTGTAATATTACTTATATGATAATAAGTATGGTACAAAAGATAACAATTAAAATAATTATACAAAAAAGTAAAAGTATAGTACTGATATATAGTAATTCAGTACATACACACTACTATTTTTTTTCTAAACATACAGAGACCACTTACCCCTGTATGTCACCATCCACATCCTAGAACTAAAAATTTACTAGTCAGGGGCCAGATAAAATGCTAAACCTAATTTTGAACCATTTATGCCTCTCTCTCTCTCTCTCTCTCTCTCTTTATCTTCAGTTTTCATTTACTGTATTTAGAACACAAATGCAAAGAAAAAACATTAATCTCTCAATGTCAACTACACCACTTCCTCTCAGAAACATAATTACAGTATCATGAGGTTTAAATTGTTCTTTGCACTTTCACCACACTTGAGCCGCCAACTCTCTAGGATAATAGTTAGCAGTTAACAGCGTTTGCTTTACATATTTGGCCCGTAGTTACCACGGACGTAACAATCAATTGGTTTCACAACACGAGATTTACGTATCATTACCTTATTTCATAAATTATATCAAGACCCAGAAAACTTGAAAAGGAAAAGTAGGTCAGAACGAAGTATTTAAGCCCTAGATGTACATGATTTTGGAGACATTTCATTTTCTGGAATATAAAGCAATTAAAGCATTTAAAATTGCAATGACAGGAGACGTCATCCAGGATTATGGCAACATATCCACTGGAGCATAGCCTCTTTGGCTTTCATTTAATCAAATAATAATAATAATAATAATAATAATAATAATAATAATAATAATAATAATAACAATAATTATAATAATAATAATAATACGCTTTGCATCGATTTAGTCAATATCAGAACATTTCTAAACTAGACCTTATTCCTCCACCATCTCCTGTACTATAACGCAGTCCTTGTACACAGAGAAACATAGTCACGCACGACTATTATAATGTGGTGGGAATCTGGCACAAATTGGGGTTAAGCATATACATAGTTATAGTAAAAGTGCTCGGCAATAAAAAAAATGAAAGCTATATGTAAAAGTAGATCTTACAAAGACATTGGGCATTCCCCCCCCCCACTCCCCACCCACCCACCTCCCCCACCATCCTATCCTAAGCTATACAACGTCCCACATCGTTCATGTGCTCGTGAGAGAATAGGCAGCACAAAGTGCATAACCCAGTAAAACAGCAATGCAACAATTTACACATACCAGGTAGAGTACAAGCATATAGATTGGTATATTCATTTTCTATTATTAGAGCACTACCACAGATTCTATTATATAGACAATTAAAAAATGGGGGGGGGGAGGACTGATTCTGAACCAGATATAATCTTGTGCATTTAGCTAGTGCAGAATAGGTAGGAAGAACAAGGATCTAGTTTATTTACAAGCCTCCCTAGTCACTGACTAAATAGCAATTTCTGGTAACTATTAAGGTCCCATTCATAAAATTGACACACCAGGCATCAACAGTCATGTAATACAAACAGGAGACTGAATCATCATGTGTTCAAAATCTGATATTTTAACCTACTAAATCGATATTTAACATACAATATCCAACATAGTAAATGCAGCAATATCAGTGACAAGACTAACTGTGATACAAAAGCTGAGCTAGATTTTACTATGAAATGAATGGGAAAATTAACCTTGCACCAACTCCCCATATACTCAAAAGTGTTCAACTTACCAAACATTAGATTGATGGTTTTAAAAACTACACCCAAGCTCTTACATACCATCATTAACACAACTAAGACAATAACCAAATTGTGCTTCAACACAACATCTATAGATGTACAGCATTTTCCAGACTTATATTTCTGACGCAGCCCATTACATGGGTCATGCAAGTGTGTATATGTATATTCTCGCTTGGAGAATACCATGGGCATATATATACGTGTGTGTGTGTGTGAACTTGGTATTTGCACATTGCCTTACTTGGGGGATATGCATTCACATGAAAAAGGGCAAAAAGATCAACTGATCTTCACCATGTACATCTTGTATCATAAGTGAGAGTTGATCATCATCCTGTTGATCATCCTCTGAAGTGATAGTCTGCACATCCCACAATGGCGCGTTACATCACTCGAGAGGACGCGGACCGTCGAGAGGGATGGTGTGGAGGACTTCGTCCAGAAGCTGAAGTGCACGGTGAAGGTGAACCTCAATCCAGCACGGCGTTTCCTTGATGGTCTGTCGAGGATAATCTGGGCCCCAGCCCTTCACGAAGCTTAGACGCAAGATACACAGTCTTCTTAGATCATCCACGCCAATTCCTGCTGCAGCCGAGAGGTTACCTGTTCAGGAGGAATTGTCAAGTTTTTCCAAATATAGTATATACTGCATACATAGTTTAACGTGTTAAAATGTATTTTGAACCATTCTGTGTACAGTACTTAGTGACAATATTAAATTACTATTCAGCTCTCCAACAATTTGGCTAGTACACTATTTATGACAAGATGTTAAGTGGGTAGTTATGCTGGCCACAACTGATGTTATATTACAGATTATTTAACAATTACATTGAACAAGTGTTATGCATTGGTTGCATTAAGGTAACAACACGAGAACTCCAGCACTCTTCCCCAGTATATCTGAAGATACAAATTTATATTAAAAATCTAAAACATGCCTCATCCCCCTCTCTAAACCTATTAAAAGTTAAAAGTATTTAATACATATCCTTGTAGTTCCTACATGCACTATTTAAGATTACATTACCATGTGATACTATGGTTCATGTCTGAAGAGTTGCATTACAACTCATTGGCATGTAGCTACTATATAATATACTGCAGTCTAAATAGAATTTGTACAGTGTGACCCAATTTACTACATCAATTGGTGCATCCAAGTGTCCCTTACAGTGAAAAATCCTGTTAGCCGAAGTGGGAGGCTGGTGGTGAGGAAGTTTCAGGCATCCTATCAAAAAACAAATTTATACTGTATATACAAGAGTTCTTACATTCTTGTTCAGCCACTAGCACACATAGCATTTCAGGTAAGTCCTTAACTCTAATTTTCCCCGGAACACGACCTGCCAAATCGTTTAACAACCAGGTACCCATTCACTGCTGGGTTAACTGAGGCTACAGTAAAGGATTGGCACCTAGTCAACCCTCCCCGGCCAGGATACAAACCCAGGCCAAAGCACTCGCGAAACGCCGGGCAAGTGTGTTACCAATTCGCCACAGTGACTGCAAACTGCTAAACATATGAGTACCTGGTACCCATACCCACTTCCAAGTCAACAAGACCCACTTGATAATATCAGATCTTGGTTTTGAAACCCCTGAAGTACACATGGTGCTGCCACCTGGTGTGGGGTGGAGATAAACACCAAGAACGCAAACAAGCAATCACCAAGAGTCGTCTCTGGGCAGTCACTTGTAATGCCAAAGAAGGGCTTGTATAGGTTTGTGATTTTGATTGAATGATTTTTTATTGACTCCCTAGCACCTATTCTGACCTTGCAGCAATGCTTGAACAATTCCTAACCGCACAGGTTAGGAATGGAAGGTGTCAGAATATGTCATCCTGCCTGATTTTTTATGAACCTGCTCAATAAGCATCGCAGATCTTACCTTACAGAACAACCGTAAGTGTTAGCTCAGAAAAACTCCTTACATTAGGAGTTTAAGTAACACAATCCTGACATGATGCAAAAAGATTCAAATCAAAGCTATTGGAGAGGTAGTATATATATTTTTTGGTAGTCTTTAATCAACAGGAGGGGTGTTATCTCCTCTCAAACCACACGGCACCTCTGATGCATTTCCGATGGTTCCTTTCATATAAAAGGGGTGACGCCGAGGAAAATAAGACTCGCGTCAATACCAAAACAAAAAAGACTATGGTTGTAAGCCTACCGGAAGAAAAGCAAAAACTCCCTACACCCACCTACTCACATCAACAAAACTGTAAGTATTCAGAGCGCCAATAAATGATTAATGCTTCAGTGGCAGAATGGGGCAAACTAAAGCGCATAATTCTTACCCGGAGAAATTCCACCTACAGTAGCTGGGCCCGAGATCTGTCCAGCAACAGCAGCTGCCTGTGCCGCAGCTGCTGCCTGAGCCGTAGCTGCCTGAGTCTGCATCTGCCGGTGGCACTGACTCAAATCAAATACCTGGAATGAACGCACACCTGCAGTTCTCTCATAATAATAAAAGGAAATCATGAAACATATTCTCAACTGAACAATGATGAATATATTCAACACACCTGAGTAATACAGCGACAACAGTAATTAACAAAAAAAAATATAAAATGGAGAAAACAAATTAACATCAACAGCCAACATTAATAAAAATTAAAGTCAAAGTTAATCATGACTTTTTTTTAATTTTACATAATGTTAAGTTGTGAAGTGACTTTAATTGTATAATGTCTTCAAGAAGGAACTATACAGATTTTATTAGAAGTTACTCTATCAATCAGATCATGATGGATATATTAGTTTTTGTCGCAAGCAATAATTACCTTCCTGATCATCTAATCACCATCTACGAGATACATATTGGAAAAGATCACCCACAGTAGCCAACACATTATAATAAAACAAACCCCATGTTTTAGGTTTATTCCTCTTCATGCAAACACACTGACAAATTCTTGGGTATAGCTCTCCATAATAATGTGACAGTCTAGGATCACTCACCTTGATGCAAGCACACGGGTATATCTTGTGTACAGCATCACCCGGGGAGCGGCCAGCTTCACGATCGAGATAGTAGCTCTGGACGAAAACACTGTGGTCACTCAAGCAACGCAGCCACACATCTCCTTCGCCTCTCAGGTCCAGCTGAACTCCCTTACCAATGTGCAATCTACAGCATAACGAAAAAGTGACCTTCTGAATCCCTTCATGCAGACCCTATGTCCAACTTAAATAAACACACATGCACACATCCACCTTCCGCCATACCACACATGCATGCATGCACCCATTCCCTCCCCCCCCTACACACACACATGCATGCAACCACACATCCACCCACAGCCATCCCACCCCATACATGCATGCATATAAAACATCCACCCACAGCCATCCCATCCCCCACCACACACATACATTCAAGAGTGTCACAGATCAATCTGTGAATCTCTTGAATGTGACCACTTATCAAAGATAAGAGGTCACAGCTCTTATCAAAGACAAGAGGTCACAGATTCAAGCTAAGTAAACAAATGGGCCAAAAATACAGTAGTATTAGAAAGGTTGGATACTGAACTAAAAAGTTACTAATTACAATGATGATACTGCACACACACACACACACACACACACAGAGCCAGTGTTTATAATACATATACATTGTACAACTGTTTATTGTCATTTACTGTACATTAATATTTTGTATTATTAAAATGTTCACAAATGATTGCTCTTTTGTATGTTACGTGTACAAGGAAAATGACACTTAGTCACAACAATTATTTCGGTGAATTTCCTAGAGAGATTAGACAACATGCAGCATGGGAACCTGAGTATTACAAACATTCCACCACCTCCAAATATGTTCACTGCTCTCTACAGACCCTATGTACTTTATTTATATGCTTTTCCAAGTCCATAAATGTTATATACATACCATAATATTTCTTATGCTTTCTCTACTAGCTATCTCAATGCCAATATCTGATCCCATGCCCTGGATCAGATCCCTTAAAACTACAAAAAGTACTCAAATTTGTGTCGACGCAACTTACCTAGCCCTCTCACTTTGTTCCGTCCGGTGAACATTACTGAGCGCTCCAAGACAAAAACGATTGCCACCAGAGGGATCCACATAACCATCCACAGTAACTGCTGGACAACTGGAGGGCACCTTAAAAGTCTCACCCACCTGAATGACACATACATTACAAATTAACTAAGGATAAGTAATATAGAGTACATGTGCTGAGTAATAATTCCCATTGTTGGGGGGACAGGAAGCATGTGTATATGTATGCCTTAGGCTTGCACCAAGGTCCCCCAAACAACAGATGCCCGACTCTCGGGTGCCTATTTACTACTAGGTAAAAGGAAATATGCCTGACCATTTCTGTCCACCCAAGAATCAAACCCGGGATCCCAAGCTGCGAGTCAAGAATATAGCCAACTGTAGTAGAGAAAGCAAATTAATTGTGAAATACTGTACAAGTAAAACACATTACCATAAATAAAGATTGGCATTACACTTGTGATGCACAAAAAAACAAAACTCCATTTAATTTTATTTTCTTCCCAGTGTTGCAGAGTTCTGTTAGATGCCGTGAAATGTTTCCACGTAGGAAGTAATATTCACCTAGTATAGTACATGTTTAAGAGTTGATGGTGTAATGAGTGACCGTTCTGACATTACAGCATGCCAGGTTTGTGTGATGTCACCTTGGCTGTTCAACAAAAGGTGGGGGTCCAAGAGCCTACAACTCGATCCTGCAGTCACACCTAAAGGAAAATGAATTGATGATTGCTAACCCATGAGAAGTTGACAAGCACAAATGCTTACAGTCCACCGGCATGCAGTACAGGAACACAGGAGGAGCTGGACAACAAATGAGAGGGCCTCATAATGATCTTGATAAGACAATATAGGAGGAGCAGATAGACAGATCACAACTGTTTGCACTCGGCGACTTCAACTTGAAATCCAGACTGGAAGGCCTACGAAGCAAAAACCAGAGGACTTTTGGACTGGTAGATTTGTAAACCTCATCCTGGAGACATTCATGTATCAACATGTTCTTTGTTGTATCATATCAACAAGCTACAAGAATGACGGAAGGGAATGTTCCTTCAATGCTGGATATGATATTCACCAGGAAAGGAGAGAGATTTGATATTCAGTATCCTCCACCCAAGAGCAAAAGTGACCATGGCCCTTAGGAAATAAAGTATGCAATACATTATAATCTAGAAGAAAATGAGGATAATGAAGCAGTTGAAAAACCTGATTTCAGGAGAGGACACTATGTGAACTTTAAAAAGTTCTGAACAAATTTGACTGGACAAACTTGCCATTAGGCAAGTACTGTAAGTGAGATGTCTATCAAGTTTAGTGAAATATATGATAAAGGCACAACAAAATTTATGAAGTTGAAAACGGTATTGCTGAATGAGAGAGGTCCGAGAAGAGAATACAAAGTTATGGTAGTGGAGAGAGAGAGAGAGAGAGAGAGAGAGAGAGAGAGAGAGGGGGAAAGTGCGCATGAAATAAATATACACATTGAAGTACTAGAGGGGTATTATCTACTTAAATACCTATAACCGATTGATAAAAGAGGAATGTGAGCAACTGAAGATTAGAGCGACTCAGAAAACAAAAGTGACGGTAAAATGAAAGTCATGGTTAGAAACAAAAAACAAGATTAGAACAGATGCAGACAAAAGGGCTGCACATAGAAGTGCTGCCAACTATTATGTATGTTTTTTTGGGGCAAGATGATAGTGTGGTTTGACAGCTAAAAATACAGTTTTAGAACAGTAGAAATGGACAATCTGATAATGTATGGTGTTGGGAAAATACATTCAACAAGGAATGAAAAATAATTTTTGCATTATTATTATTTTTTAGGGGGGGAAGGGGGTGTGGCTGGTGACAGGCAGCCTTGTTGCTACCCTTGAGGTTATCTTGAGATGATTTCGGGGCTTAGCGTCCCCACAGTGCGGTCCTCAACCAGGCCTCTTTTTGTTACACAACAAACCCCAGGATGCAGCCCGTAGCAGCTATCTAACTCCCAGGTTCATATTTACTGCTAGGTAATAGGGGGCATCGAGATAAAAGAAACTCTGCCCATTTCTTTCCGCCTCCATCGGGGATCAAACCCGGAACCTCAAGACAACAAATCCGAAGCGCTGTCCACTCGGCTGTCAGGCCCCTCCCTAGACACCCTGCCAGACTCTAGTCAACACGGCACCTCCAGACCATGCTATGGAGAAGTTGTCTGGTAGTTTTCTGTTAACCTTAGCAAAGTAATGAATTATGCTTAATGACAAAATTATATACTTTTGTCTATAGCATGACCACTGAATGAAATATGGTCTGCATAAGTGTAGTGCTACATTACTGAACAACAGTTATAATAATATCTCGTGTAAGAAAGCTATCTTTTGTTATCGTGTCCCTGATTAATGCTGAATAACATCCGAGTTATCACTAGATGAAAAGAATTAGCAATTTCTTAGCCATTGACATTCGAATACTTTAACTGAATTATTCACTAGCAATCCTTCAAGTTCTCGTAGCAGCCAACTTCACTCTTGCCTTTCAAATTACCCAAGATAATTGTATTCTAAGAACAATATTTCACAATCCTTCAATCAATTGTATTCTACACATTTTGTTAGTCCACTTATTTTCTCACCTGGGTGTCTAACTCAAAATACGCTATGGAGCACCAAAACTCCGGGCCCGGCTGTGAGGAGAGCGGCGCAACCTGCACGTCTTGCATCAACTGCTGTTGGTCCCCTGGGAAAATAATGATCCATCATAAATTCTTCACACCCATTCCTTTCCCCTTTGCTCTACTCTGTTTAATAACTGATGCAATTATGAGAAAATCTTTGGAGCAGGGCGACTGAATCACACAAACAGGGCAAACAGAGTGGTAGACGGTTGGAACAAGTTAGGTGAGAAGGTGGTGGAGGCCAAGACCGTCAGTAGTTTCAAAGCGTTATATGACAAAGAGTGCTGGGAAGACGGGACACCACGAGCGTAGCTCTCATCCTGTAACTACACTTAGGTAATTACACTTAGGTAATTACACACACGACGGCCAAAGATTTTCTCACACACATATCATGCTATTGTACTTTCAATATTGTACTTATACATTTACCTCATCAGTCCCATTAGGTTTCCATTATTTCAGCTTCTGCGCACACACACAAGCATCTTTTTCCATCAAAATATCTGTAGGTGTTCTATCCCATATTTATCTAACATCAATAACAATAATTCATACTCGCATACACTTCTCTCATCAATTTTACCAGTTAAACTTTCAAACTATTTTTCATCGCTGAGCAGGACCTACTAAGCCCACTACATATGTTTATGTTCAGGAGCCCAGAGAGAGGAGCATATTCTATTATATATACACTTTTGTTTTTGCTTCAATTCTCTATAAAATTAATTTGTAAACATTATGACACCAAATTTATAGTTATAACCCAACAAATGACTTAGAAATGTAAAATAATTGTGCACATTTTTTTCGTCTCCGAGCAGCCTGGGGAGCCTGGAATGTTTACAGTCCGGAACACGTTTATGGTTGGGAACGTGCGGAGAGGCCGGACCACCAATGTGTTATAATTTCTACTGTCCCCCATTTTGCTTGTGAAAAAATTACCTTTTCAAATTTACAGCATAACAATTTTTCATTACTTATCCTCATATTTCCTGTTAAACTAGGTAGAAGAGATGACTCAATGAGTAGAATATACAACATTTATAAATATATTTGAATTAAAAAAAAAAATCATGGAACAATTCTTCTTACACATAACAGACAGAAATAAACCATCCATCAAGAGCTACCCATCTTGACACAGGTATTATTAAAGAAAATTGATCAATAACCATATAAAGAGAAAAAACTAATTTAAACAATTTATGCTTCTAGAAATAAATAAATAAATAAATGTTTATTCAGGTAAAGTACATACATACAAGAGGTTATACAAAAATTGATCGATTTATAGATAGAGCTAGTACATACAATGCCTAAAGCCACTATTACGCAAAGCGTTTCGGGCAGGAGAAACTCCTACTATCTAGAAACTATCTAAAGTTTCTAGATAGTTTCTCTCTAGAAACTATCTAAAGTTCTCCAAGTGCACAAACTCTAGACCCGTTATAAACTCGACTTACAGAAGCTGTGGTTCTGTCGATCATTCATCATGTTGGGAGTATACGATAGTGTGTTTTGGCCGCTCCAATTTGGCTGCGAGGACATGGAGTGTGTGGTAACAGAATGAGGCGAGACCTGCTGGGGCGACGCAGCGGCTTGCCCGAACTGGGACGTCACTGGGCCTCCTTGGACTGTTCTAGAGTTGGCGCCCGTTCCACCAGTCAATACTGCAAACCCATTTTGTTGTTGCTGTTGCTGCTGTTGTAGTTGCTGTGGCTGATGTGGCTGCGACTGTTGTTGCTGCTGCTGAAGGTGGGGTGACAACGGACCCATGCTAACTGCTAAATATGTGGAAAATACGTCATTAAAACACAACTCATAACATAGGTTGTGATTTTGTTTTTCTACAAAACAAAATCAATTACTATTGATTACAGTAATCAATACGCTAAAACACAAAGCTAACGACATATGACAGACTTGTTAAACTGATAATAAGTAAAATAAATTACCGTGAATATTTTAACATGATAGACAGATGCTTCCATGAATGGAAGATACAGTACTGTGCTATTATGAATATCTTGTAATGTGTTTTTCAACCATATTTTTCAGCCTTCTAGACAAGTATCAAGGATGTCAAAGAGTGTGGAGTTGAGCAAACTATTAAAAGATAGAGAAGAACTGCCTTGTGGGATGAGGAAGACATAATAGCAAGTTATGTTAAGAAAAATACGTACATTTTGTTGACAGAGTAAATGAGAGATACAAGAAAACTAGAGAAAATGTATATGTTTATTTCTCAGAATGTTTCGCAATATGTTTATTGTTTGTGATGTGTGTATGTATGTATGAACACGTTGTACCGAACGGGGTGAGAATAGCTTGAGCTACCTCATCCCTTTGTGTGTATTTTACCTCAATAAGCTTATTTCAATTTCAAGAAAACTAGAGTACAGTGAGAGTAAAATGTCTGTCACACAGGCAGGAAATAAAAACAATGCAAATAAAATGTTTAAAAAAAATGAACTAAAGAGATGATTAAGAGCAGGTGGAGAAAGTACATTAGAAAGTCTGATGTTAGTGTTGAAAAGCATGCTTGTGTGAGCATGACATGTCCAGTGGAGTGTGATGAGTGCAAAATTGAATACCAGCAGATATATCTAAGTAGAAAACAAGTAAATCAATCAAGAACCTGGGGCCAGATTCACGAAAGCACTTACGCAAGCACTTACGAACGTGTACATCTTTCCTCAATCTTTGACGGCTTTGGTTACATTTATTAAACAGTTTACAAACATGAAAACTTGCCAATCAACTGTTGTTATTGTTATAAACAGCCTCCTGGTGCTTCAGAGCTCATTAACTGTTTAATAATTGTAAACAAAGCCGCCAAAGATTGAGGAAAGATGTACAGATTCGTAAGTGCTTGCGTAAGTGCTTTCGTGAATCTGGCCCCTGCAATGTGGGAATGCTGCGGGTATCAAGGTACAGAATACGAAGAAAATATTAGTGTAATGGAGATAAAAGAATGGAGTGGGTGTATAAAATTTGCAAAAATGAAATGGACAGTAATACTTTGCCAGGCTATTGAAGAAGAGTTTAATTGTGCTAATATAAAACATGTAAAAACAAAGGGGAATTAAAAACATAAGTAAGAATTAAAGAGGCATCAGTTTACCAAGTGAAAAGGACAAGTATATGGAATAACAGTGATTGAAAGTGTACAGGTAATTACAGATCAAGTGCTGTGATTAACAATGCGAATTTCTTGGTAGAAGAGGTTGTCTGGCTTAGATCATTTATTTGAGACAGTTTATGGAGAAGACATCTGGAAACTTGCCATACAGTGTCTGGAAACTCGTCATACAGTGTTTACACACTCGCTGGATGGTGTCTGTAAGCTCACCAGTGTCTGGAAACTCGTCAGACAGAATCTGGAAACTTACAAGATGGTGTCTGGAAATTTATGAGACGGTGCCTGGAAATTTATGAGACGGTGCCTGGAAATTTATGAGACGGTGCCTGGAAATTTATGAGACGGTGCCTGGAAATTTATGAGACGGTGCCTGGAAATTTATGAGACGGTGCCTGGAAATTTATGAGACGGTGCCTGGAAATTTATGAGACGGTGCCTGGAAATTTATGAGACGGTGCCTGGAAATTTATGAGACGGTGCCTGGAAATTTATGAGACGGTGCCTGGAAATTTATGAGACGGTGCCTGGAAATTTATGAGACGGTGCCTGGAAATTTATGAGACGGTGCCTGGAAATTTATGAGACGGTGCCTGGAAATTTATGAGACAGTGCCTGGAAACTTACGAGAGACAGCATCAGGAAAGAACTGCTGGGAACCTGGAGTAGATGGAGTTGGGGACTGAAGCCCTTGTGACATGTGACTGGATGTGCTGCCTGCAAAGAATGAATTTATCTAACTTTAGCTCACGTTATTTTGACTTAAAATATTTTCCTATGCAAAAATAAATTATTTCAACAAACTTTCAATATTTTAAGGACTAAATTCAATCAACTACATCTTTGTTAATAATTTAAATAATGCTTCTTGTTTAAAATAAAACTTCTATAAATTCTCATAGTGCTTCCTGTGATCTAAAACTAACAAAGTTTCAAGTTCAACATAATATATAATGACATGCTTACTATCTTAAAACCACACTGGACATAACCAGCAATAAGAAAATACAACTGAGTAAGTTTGTAACCATGTTTCATCCGGGCATGCAATTTGATTTTAGTTATCCCATACATTGCCAATAATGAACCATTTTGTTGAAAAAGTTATCTTCTATGGACTTCTAAAATAGTCCATGGCACTATTTTGGTCAGGAGGGGGAAGGGGTGGAACATTTTGGGATGCATGTGCCAGCAGGCTGCTTCTGCTGGGTAAATTATATAAGGTGATGAAAGTGATGTTGATGCTTTGGAGCTTTTATTTTTTATTTCTTTATCAGAATGATTCTCTTGAGTGAAATGGAAATCAAATATGCTGTCAATAATCCAGGGTCTATTACCTTGTCTGCAAGAGATTATGTAGTGCGTACAAACAGAAGCTATAAAATATGTATAATATAATTTGGAGAAATCTAGACATGTATGTTTAAATTACTTTTTTTTCTATTCAGAATTTGATACTCTCCAGTCAAAGACAAATTTTGTTGTGGCTTTACATAAAACAAAGCATTATAATGGGCAATGTTTGGACTTTTATACTCTGCCGTGTACGATCTATCTTGAGGTTATCTTGAGATGATTTCGGGGCTTTAGTGTCCCCGCGGCCCGGTCCTCGACCAGGCCTCCACCCCCAGGAAGCAGCCCGTGACAGCTGACTAACACCCAGGTACCTATTTTACTGCTAGGTAACAGGGGCATAGGGTGAAAGAAACTCTGCCCATTGTTTCTCGCCGGTGCCCGGGATCGAACCCGGGACCACAGGATCACATGTCCAGTGTGCTGTCCGCTCAGCCGACCGGCTTCCCTCTAGGAAGCAAAATTTCCTCCAAGCGTACATAAGTCGTAACTGTACACATAGGTGGTTACCTGTAGGTGACAGCAGAGAGAACGACTGTTGGTGTGACACGGGATGATGAGGTATGGTCTGTTGCGGGTTGCTCACCACACTTTGGTGAAGACTTCCTGCCTGAAATGGAAATACAATATCTTCATTATGATCCAGTACATTCACCACACCATTCAAATTAAATTGACAATAATTCAAAATATACCGATACCAACATATGAACGAGTAACAACATTAATACCCAACCCACAAGAATAAAAAAACAAGGGAAGTAGCAACATTTCGGTCCATCGTGAACCATTATTACATGTGGGGTTGGAGATTCATTTTCAACCATGTTATTGTACTATTCTCTTCAAGTAAAATTATCAACATTTAATTAACATTTTGCAATTATATCTAATCCACATTAATGTGTTGAATGCTGAGGAATTGCAAAGGAATGTGAATGAGTTTGATAATGTAGGCAATAGCAGAAATTCAAAATGGTGAGTGTAGGAAAAAGAAAGATTATGATGGGAAAAGAAAGATTATGATGGGAAAAGAAAGATTATGATGGGAAAAGAAAGATTATGATGGGAAAAGAAAGATTATGATGGGAAAGAAAGATTATGATGGGAAAAGAAAGATTATGATGGGAAAAGAAAGATTATGATGGGAAAAGAAAGATTATGATGGGAAAAGAAAGATTATGATGGGAAAAGAAAGATTATGATGGGAAAAGAAAGATTATGATGGGAAAAGAAAGATTATGATGGGAAAAGAAAGATTATGATGGGAAAAGAAAGATTATGATGGGAAAAGAAAGATTATGATGGGAAAAGAAAGATTATGATGGGAAAAGAAAGATTATGAACACTGTGGGCAGGGATTCCCCAGGATTACTGTTCCCACTCTGAACACCAGATCATCATATAAGCACAAACCTTGTGGTGTTCAGAGTGGGAACAAAGATTCCCCGAACCTCTGCCCAGTTCCCAGAAATCGGATAATTGAACATTCTTCGAAAAATTTGACAGCCCTCGGCGAGTCCCTGAGGAACACAATCACATCTAATGACGGATGCTAAGTGAGGCGCTCTGTCAGACAAATGCAACTCCTAGAATCCTCTTCAGAACACTGTGTACAACACCTTGAGAAAGGATGCAGGTTACATCCAAAAATTTGGTTTTAATACGCTTACACATATATTGAGTCGTTGAACAAATCCACAAGGGCCGCGATGAGGATTCGAACCTGCGTCCGGGAGCATCCCAGACACTGCCTTAATCGACTGAGCTACAACAGAGTTAAAAAGAGTTGAAACCGAAACTTGCTCAGTTTGAAACAGTGCTTGCTCAGGTACTTTATCTCATCCTCAAATGGGACATAGCCAAGAATAAGTCCCTGGTTGATTGACAGTCGAGAAGTGGGACCAAAGAGCCGAAGCTCAACCCCCACAAGCACAACTAGACGAGGCGAGTACAAAAACTATAGTACTGTATCATCCTTTGCAGATAACACTAGGAGTTTCATGAGCGTAGCCAATATAGAGGACACACGGGAACCTCCAATCTGATGTTAATCAAGTCACAGAACTTGATTAACATCAGATTGATGACAATCTGATTTAATCAAGTTCTTCTCAGACAAACGGGTCACAGAAAATAACATGTTTAATGAAGATAAATTTCAGCTGTGCCAATATGGGAAAAAACTAAAATATCAAAACAGAAACTACAAACAAAATGCAATCAAACCACACAATTGAAAAAAAGTAAATACAAACAAATTTGGGAATAATTATGTTGGAAGACCTTACTTGTAAAGAACACAATACAGTAGCTGTCACAACAGCAAGAAAATGGCAGGTTTGACAACAAGAACCTTTCTAATAAGAGATGCCAGATAAATAATACTTTTTAAGACATTATCAGAGGTCCACAGCTGTTCAACACCCTCCCAGCAAGCCTTATAAATATTGCCGGAACAAAGGTGGATGTATTCAAGAGCCACTTAGGCAAGTTCTTGCAAGAAGTGCTGGACCAACCAGGTTGAAGTGAATATGTAGGCCTGCGGGCTGCTCCAAGCACCAGCCTGTTGGACCAAGTTATCACAAGTCAAGCCTGGCCTCAGGCCGGGCTCAGGGAGACCATCTCCCAGAACCTGCTCCAAGTATGCTCCAGGTATACACTAGTGCTAAATAGGGTAGAATATTGTTGTACACTAACAACCCCATTCAAATCGGTAGAAATTGCCAATGTGGAAAAACGTGATAACGTCTTTTACTACCCAAATGCCCTTAATAAAACATCAAAATTATTGGGAAAGCATACAATTTTTAAATATGTATTCTCTAGAGTGCAGGCGAGAGAGATGCACACTAATTTACAATTGGAAAATACTAGAGGGACTGGTTCCAAATCAGCACACAGAAATATCTAGATACGAGATCAGGAGGCAAGAAGTGCAGAATAGCCCCATTGAAAAAACAGAGGTGCATTAGGTACACTGAAAGACAATTCTACATTAACCAACATTAATGGCACAAGATTTTTCAACACTTACTCAAAATATAAGGGGCACAACTTGCCAATCTCTCACAGTGTTCAAGAGAGAACTTGATGAACACCTCCAAAGGAAACCTTATCAACTGGGCTGTGACTCGTACATTAGACTATGAGCAGCTGCGTCTAACTGTCTGGTTAGCCAGACCACCAACTAGGAGGCCTGGTCAGAGACTGGGCCATGGAGACATTGATCCCAGGAACCGTTAACAGATAGCATGATAGATTAGAAAGAATAGAAACACAATACTGCTTTTCTCCCAGCCCCGACATAGAGAAAGTATGATAACTATCAGAAGAAAGCACCAAGTCTTATGACTATATAGCACTGGGAAGAATGGAAACAGGCAAAGTGCTTAAGAATACAAGCAGAGGAAATTAGTTTTCTTCAAAAAAAAAAAAAGAAGCTGGTGTATGAAGAAACGTGAGAGAGGTGGTCCGAGTGAATGGAGTGAAAGAATGAAAACGTGGAGTAGTGCATTCATTGAAGCCCAGTACACTTCGGTGGGTCCCGCCAAACACACACCGAAACTACGACGTTGGTACAACGTTCGAACAAGTTTTAACACCTCCTAACCAATTATAACAACCAACATAGCAAGTTGTAACAACGTTCTAATACGTCATAAACACGTTAAGCCAAGATGTAACAACTTTATTTCAAGTTGTAACAAGCGGAAAATAGAGACAGTTACGGTTTGTGTTTCCAGGGTTGTGTTAGTAGGATGTTGGCAGGAAGACTGCACAAGGGTACAGTAAGATCATCTGATGGAGGTACACTACAGTACATCTTAGAAGGCAAGAGCAGGACAATGTATGGAAGTAAGGGGGTGTAATGCATTAAAGGTGATGAGGGGTAAAAAGATTGCATAATCATAAGTGTGTCTTAAAAGAAATTTCTACTGTGCCACCCCCAAGATGAGGAGCTCCCAGAAGAGCAAAATAATATTGTAATAACATCAGTAAATAATAATAATAATAATAATAATAATAATAATAATAATAATAATAATAATAATAATAATAATAATAATAATAATAATAATAATAATAATAATAATAATAAAATCAAATACATCAATATACATTATAGAGCTGTAGTTGACATAAAAGTCGATGGTACCCCACCTGTGAGGACGTAGGGCTAGCTTGAGGTCCGGCTGGCTGCTAAATAAAACATAATTAATACAGTATACAGTACAGCATTATTATTTCACTCATCTCCGGCATTCACCTAATTAAAAACCCATTTGGTTGTACAATACTATACATTCTTCCACTAAAACATCAGCAAACTAACAATTAAAGAGCAACTGAAGAACATATTACCGAGAGACCTACATGCAGAAAAGATGTACAAAACTACTGCATGTCATATTTGTATCCTTTAACTTTCTGCAGAGTTTCAGGACGATTATAATTTAGACCAAAAATTCTGAACTTGTACATTTTTCTTTGGAAATGCTCTTAGAACTTGACAAACATGAATATGTGAATATGAGTATATTCAGGAGTTACTGACACAGTTATTTCAAGGTTATGGATTATACACCCATTTCTTGCCATTTCACATTCTCAGCTAGAAAGAATCTCGGTTCTCCTCCCTGTATCCTTTCATAACTATATTATAAAAAAAAATCAAGAACAGGCCTGAAACTTGGAATAGGATTACGAGCAGTTCCATTTTCAATTGACATATCCCACCTGAGAAGACGTAGGTCCTGGCTGTGGACCCGACGGTTGATGAGATATGGCAGAGAGCCCCGAGGGACCTGGAGTGACGGACGGTTCTCCAACACTGCCAGGTCCTCCACTCGCTTCACAATCCATACGTATTCCATACTCATCCTTCACCAGCTGACCTGTAGATGCACCTTGCAGGCTCAGTCCAGTCAAGTCTGCTTTGAAGAAGAGTGAGTCAGCTCTAGCATGCAACTCTCAATCTCTACATCCATGAAGAATAAAGGATGATTGCATATATACTATATACTGAAGCACAATGATATCACAACACTGTGATGTGTGTATGAGAAAATATTGAGGCTGGTTGATCAGTCCAGCAACCAGGAGGCCTGGTCGACCGGGCCGCGGGGACGCTAAGCCCCGGAAGCACCTCAAGGTAAGGTAAGGAGGCGATGCAATAGGATTTAACCCGCGTCCCCAGACTCCCCACCAGGCACAAGCACTACCCACTGAACCACAAGGAGCTTTAAACCATCTCATCGTGCAGCCTTAATATTTTCTCATGTATACTGAATATGAACTAACATGTCATATGATGCAGCTTTAAAAGTGGATAGTGCAATACTAAGAAAATGAAAATGAATAGATCTGTACTTTTCTGGGTCAATGAAGCAATTTAAAAAAGTATTCACTTGAGTTGACTAGATTCTTAAATTTTTCCCTTTTGAAATTTTCAGAAAAATCTGCAACATATTTGTATGTTTGAATAAGTCAAAATATTCCATTAACATTGAACATTTCTGTAAAAGTCCTGCACCCTTAACAATTTCTAATACTGTATATCTAGAAAGCATTTATTTCCAATACAAGATAAACATAAAATATAAAAATGAACCCATACCACGGAATGCACAGTCATCCACATCAACAAAAGTTTCAACTAGTCTATAAACTATATACAGCAAGTGCTCAGTAATCTGAATTCCAGTGGCCAGAATCTTCTGGTAATCATAATAGCTTCCAACGAAACTGGGGAAGCAGGCAGGTTAACGATGGGAAAGTGCAGGTCAACAGCGTGAGTACATAGTTAAAAGCTGGGAGTAACCCACTGGGTTGTGGTAAAAAATTTTATTTTGGGACATCCTTGATAAGAAATTTGGCTAACTTGAATAATCAGCTAACTCAAATGGTGCTGGGCCCCTTATGATTCAGATTACCGAGTACATTTTCTTTTTTTACTCTCTACTTCAATAACTGCATCATTTCCATACATCAAACTTAATATAACCCATCACTTCCTACCAAAATTGGATAATTTTGACTTGCTGCATTACCCAATCCCCCATACACACTAAAGAACCATGGGGGCCATCAAACAATCTCAGCAATGCCCTTATACTGATATCATATCTCCTAATTAAAATGCCATTAACTTAGTACACAAGCTCTACTGTACTTCCTAAATAAGAATTCATCACTGTATTTAAAGACATCACACCCACTCTATAATGTGTATCTCGTACCTCGGTTTGCTTTGTGCACTTAGAAAAAAACAGTTAAGGGCGATGTTACAATAATTAAGCTACGTTCAGTTAGGAATCCAGCAGCATACAAAATTTGGCAACTGCTCAGTCCCAATATACTGGATCTGAAAGAACACATTGCATCAGATTTTTTAAATTTCTTTTCATATTAGTTTTAAATATTACTTACCAATTCCTGGTGAAACCACTCTCTCATAGTGGTAGGGGTTCACACACACCGAGTCACATTTTAGGTCAAACGCAAATTGGCAGTATTTAACATGCTTAAGTTCATTTTTATGCAGATCTGGCCATCGCCAAATGCGAGCGTATATCACATGAGGAAATCCTTTTCGGCCCGCTACCTGTGGAGATCATAGATACAATGAGAAAATATCTTCAGAATGTTATTACACATTCGGCATTAATTTGACTTTTATATTAAAACCCTGTAAGTACCGTAATTATCAAAACTTGAACTATGTTCAGTTAAGGCTTTCTTTTAGCACATGAACTTAAGTAAATATATGACTGTGGGCATGAATAAAGATAGTATGGACATTATGTTCAAAATAATCACTTATACAAGAGAAAAACAGCAAGAAATTTTTATGTTACGATTTATATCAAAGTCATCATTTTCAAAGTTTTGTTCAAATCAAATCAAAGGAAGAAATAAAGATAACTTTATTTGATTTCATTAATGCACAACTAACAAGAGTTACTCATTCAATATACATGAAAAATCATTAAAAATGCTTCTTAAACAGTCAATTTGTCATTATATTTTAGCCCCATTTAGACCAATGAAAAGTACGAGGCTCAAACAGAAATGCTACAGCAGAAGAGTGTAAAGATACAAGTGTTACAGCACTTGTATCTCGCCCTCGAATGCACAAATGCATTGTTTTATCTCTATGCACGCACAAGTACCAATGTACTGTACACAGAAATCACAATAGCGTGATGCATCAAATGAACAAATCCACAAGGGTCATCCCGGACATAGGTTCGAACCCTCGTCACAGCCCTTGTGGATTTGTTCAAGTACCAATGTACTTCTGTTCAAAATATGTACAAATCCAATCAAATCAAAATTATATAAGTATTAATAATAGTAAGCCATAGTAGTCAGAATTTGTAGTAAGTAGTAGTAGCAAGAACAAATGGTAGAAAGAAGTAGTTGTACAGTAGTAGAACGTGGCAATGGTTGTAGAAAGCAGTAGTTGTAGTAGTAGGATGAATTAGTAGTAGTAGGAACAGAAGAAAGATGTAATAGTAGTAGTAGTACCACAAGAAGTTGAAGATGTAGAAACTGATGATTGATGATGTAATAATAATAATAGTATTAGCAGCAGCAGCAAAAGGAAGTCAATGTAGTAAGTAGGAGTAGTAAGATGTAGTAGTAGTAGTAGTAGGAACTAGTAGTAGTAGGAACTAGTAGTAGTAGCAGTAAGATGACAACAGTAGTAGTAGTAGTAGTTGTATTATTAGTATTACATAAGCACGCAGCAAACAATTCAAACCTGTAATCTGCCGTCAAGAGTGCGTTGTATGGTGACGCACTTGCTAGGATGAGATCCATTGGTTGTAATTGCCGTTATCAAGGAGTCCAGCTCGTCCCTCTTCTCCTGAAAAATACATTCGATGTAAAAAATAGTAATTGATTTTCTTTGGTTATGGTGAGAGCAATGTTGGTGGATGACACAATGATGATGGTATTAGTGGATGTTACAATGACGATGGTGTGGGTGTTACAATGATAATGGTGTTGGTAGGTGTTACACTTGTAATAATGATGGTGGTAAATTGTCCTCAACACATCATTGAAAATAAACGTTTCATTCACCTGGGCTCTCGCAGACTCGAACCGTGGACCCCACGCGGTGTGAGGCCAAAGCTCTATCGACTGGGCTATCGAGAAATCTTAATAGAGTAAGATTCCTGAGGCAACTTCTGCCACCATGCTGGAATTTTGTTTACTTTCCCCTGATTACTACTGTAGCACAGAGGAATTAGTGACCCGCGCCCTACTCGATAAGCACAGTCGATAAAGCTTTGGGCTCACACACGTGGGGTCCACGGTCGAGTCTCCGAGGGCCCAGGTGATTGAAAAGATGACTGTGTTGGTGGGTGTTACAATAGTAGTAATGATGATAATGAGGATAAGGATGATGATGAGGATGATTATAATGATGATTATGGTAGTGGATGTTACAATAATGTTGGAGGTGGTGTTGGTGGCGGCTACTACAATGATGTTGGCTGATGTTATGATAATGATGGTGTTTGTGGATGTTATGATGATAGTGTCAGACAGACAGATGCTCCCTCTGGATGATGCGATTCAGCTCTGCTCCCAGAGCGCACAGATTGGTTGATCTAAATTCTGGTTTCCCAAGACTGTGTAACTAGACTTAAAAAAACGACTGAGCACAGTGAAGCAGTAACTACTTGACTCCCTAATTTTCAATCAGGTAATTTCAATTAGACATATACATACTGAACAACTACAATACTGGATATTCAAACATATTACATATATACGTACATAATTCACACAAGGACAGATAGGCTACATGACAGCTTGGACAAGGGATATCACAGGGTTTCTGGCCCTGTGACAGCATCTCGAACCATGTCATTTTGCAATGCAATATGCAAAACAGAAGACATCTAAGTATGTATACTACGTAATGATGTGAACAATCACGAGTGCCCTTCAGTAAATATCTAATATTGGCTGCGAGAAACATGCGTATTCCCAGCCACTACCTCTGACTGCAGAATTCTGGAGCAACCTGTCATAAGTAGCACGTGCCACTGGATGACGTGCGCGTCATCATCACGTGCTCTGGTGTGCGTTGTAAATGAACCAGTAATAGCAAGAAGAGTAATCTAGTAGTGCTGGTCAGTAAATTAATAGATACAGGTATCTATTTCCTTTAACTCGCTTTTTGCTCCCTATGTAACACTTCAAGCAAATTTGTGTGGCATCAACCCATGCAGACTGAATTATATCTCAGGTCAAGTGTGGCCATCAGCGAATCACCACTTCCCTACGTGAGATCACAGATCTCGCCTGTAGATTTAGATTGCTGACAAGTTTTAGTGATGGTGGGTGGTGATGGTGGTGATGGTGGTAGTGGTGTTTGTGGTGAATGAAGATGTGGTGGTCATAATGATAAAGGTGTGGGTGTGGTGATGGTAGTGATGAAGGTGTGGTTGGTTGTGGTGTTGGAGACGATGGTGAAGGTGAAGGTGTGGGTGGTGGTGGTGAGCCTCCTTTTATCAAACCACTTCTGGACAATTCTTTCCCAAGAGATAAGAAAGTAGTCAATACAATGTGCGAGGAAGACCTTAGTCTGCAACTACAGCAACACTAGCCACAAATACAGACCAAAAGCAAACCTTTTTGACTTTACTAAGCCAGGGCTAAACAATGAATCCACTACTCCCAGTGACATATGTTTACAGTTGCTGTATATACTGAAGCAGTTCAGTGCTGCTGTGGATGTTTAGAGGAAATGATATAGTACTGGTTCTACTTCAAACTACAAAATATAGTGTGGAAGATATCTCAAATGGATGTGACCTCTTTTAGGTATTATTAATCCTCTTTCCCTTTATCATTCTCATCTTTCCTCTTGACTAATACCTTCCAATTCAGTGAAAGTGGGAAACAGAGGCAATGATGAGGATATTCTGTACTATATAGAGTAATTACACATGAAAATACAGTGCTATTATTCCCCTCTTAAATTTTCTAATATTGTTGTACCACTTAACATGCTGTCTCATTTCACCTTAATCCTTGTGTGTTTTCTTAATCTTCTCAGAAATTATTTACTTTTGTATGTTACTTACCGCAATCCCATTGCCTTTTCCTAGCCGAACGGGCCAGAACTATACATCCCTTTTTTCACAACCAATGGAATTCACCAGTGAGGCTCTATCTGTGTGAGCTGTGTGAATCGAGTGTTAGTGATACTTCAACTTTCATATTAAGAACAAAACAGTGACATTCTCAGTAGAGTGAACTGCTTAATTTGGGGAATTTCACCCAGAATATTATTTTGATTAAAATCATGAATGGGTCACAGTAACACAATAAATAGGATGAAATATGGATAAGCAGCATGTTCAAAGCTGAAAAATGGAAATGAGACATAAAAAGAATGGGCACATACTGAAATTTAATCATTTTAGAAACAAGAACATTACACTTACCTGGTTGATGGGGTTCTGAGAGCTCTTCTACTCCCCAAGCCCGGCCCAAAGCCAGGCTTGACTTAGACATCTTTATCAGAAAAAACATCTAATCGAAGACAAATTTAACTGTAAAGCTTCTCCGAGACTGGTATCAGGAGCATGGAAGGAGACCCCTGGTAAACTTGTGTATAAAAAGCTCGGGAAGGAGACAAAGACTTATGATAGTTTGAGCAGTTTACCAAGTACCCAAGAACAAAAATCAACGTTGCATGTAATGAAACGTCTCTGTGGTGGGTGCCCTCAATGGCTCCCAATTGCTAGCCTCGGAGAGACACTGAAAGGTTCCTCCCTGCAACAATCATTCACTGATTTCCAATTGATTAATATCAGGCAAACCTTTTGCTCCATCAACAGATGCACTTACATTGTTGATTAAAAATTAATTAGAATTATATGTAAGTCATAACAAAAATGAATAGTAATACAAAATTGCCTAATAAACAAGAGGAAACAAAAGAAAGTCAACTTTTGTAATCCTCTACAATCCGAGATTTCTGTTAGGTACAAGTGACTCAATTTGGGTGGGATATATACTGTACATGTATTCCTAAAAAGAAAAAACTTATGGGCCCGGATCCAATTTCCGCAAACATGCTCATACTCTCTGATATCTGTTGTGCATATTCGACATGGCAAATGCACCAACTTTTGCTAATAGATCAACATCGTAAAATGAACACAAAAAAATTAAACAAAAAGTGATTTTAATAAATTTCAAATTTCTAATTTTCAAATTATCTTTAAAAACAGTAAAAGTCTTTATCTTGTATTTATTATGGTCTAAGAATAGCATATGAGGTTATCTTGAGATGATTTCGGGGCTTTTGTCCCCGCGGCCCGGTTCGACCAGGCCTTTGACAGCTGACTAACTCCAAGGTACCTATTTACTGCTAGGTAACAGGGGCATTCAGGGCGAAAGAAACTTTGCCCATTTTTTTTTTTTTTAAGTTTAGGAGTACAGTTTTCAAACAAAAAAGATTTCAATATGGCCTTCCAATTATGGGCCAAATTTAGATGGAAAAAGTTATAACCCCCAAATTTCTGGGTTTATGTTGAGAAGAAAAAAAAAAGGTTCTTTAGAACAAAGAACTTTGCATATAATGTGAAAATGGTGAGAATCTATCAGAAACTAGATTTTTCAAGCAGTCTCAAAGCTCACAATCTAGTTACAGTATAGAGAAAAATGAAGTTCAAGTTCTTGGCATTATATATGATCGTTATACTTCATGGATTTCCTTGTAAGATTTAATAATCATTGCTTGGCATTCGGACTCGAATATATTAAAGTTGGTAGGTCAATGTGTGTTGAAATGAAGTCAAGAAAAAATAACCCGCCCAAACAACAAAATATAAGGATAAGGATAATGGGTTAGGGGATAAAATATAAGTAATAAAGCCCTCATCTGCTCCCCATTCAGCAAAACAACCTAAAAAGAGACAAAGAAAAAAAAAAAGTCTGAAATCTGTGAAAAAATCGGCCAAAAAAAAATGAAAAGTAACACGTTTTGCCGCCTCTGGCCGGTTTACATGTTGACCAATTTCGTTCAAACTTCACATACTTAGTGACGGGTATGCGTTCCCTAATATGTAGAAGCCACAACAAAATCACAAAAAAAACAAAATCCCCCCTAATAAAAAAAAATTTGGAGGACAAAACAAATATTGGCATTCGGCAATGTATTTATGCGATATATATAATAAAAAACAGCAAAATAACATTCATACTCATTATTATTTGTGTGATATTTGTTATGTGATATTATTATTTGTGTGATTGACACCTTCAGTAATCGTAGAAGGCACCAGCTGCATGTCCACTTTATGATGATGGATGATGATGATGGACGACGACGACTAACTAACTAACTAAACTAAACTAAACTAAACTAAACTAAAAACTAAACTAAACTAAACTAAACTAAACTAAACTAAACTAAACTAAACTAAACTAAACTAAACTAAACTAAACTAAACTAAACTAAACTAAACTAAACTAACTAACTAACTAACTAACTACTACTAGTTCTTTGAGCATTGGACAGGTGCTTGCATCTCATCACTGCACTATCCCTGAGTTCCAGTAAGCTGGTGGTGTTATCGTTATCATCAGTACTAGTTGCTCACAGATTTATTATTTAAAAAATTTGTATAAAATCCATTTACATATTGGGATGAAATTTTCCCGATACCGATGCCAAATGACGTGAGATTTGCTTAACATATTGCAACTTTTTATTTTTATTTTGGACGAGTATTTTTGGGATTCGGGCCCCTTAAAGGTTCCTGGATAACAGGGATACATTCCAGAGACCTTCAAAATTCCACTTTTTTCTACTCTTTACTCAAAATAGCCCAGATTTGAACACAAATACGTAATCCTTCTTCCAAGTTTCAGTTACAGACTCTGTGCATAATAAAGCTCAAAATGCTTGGTGTGTTCAGTGACCAGGGTGCAACCCATAACAGTTGCCTACCTCCTGGGTACCCAACTACCACTAGGGGAACAGAGACTTGTGCAGGTGACGAGTCACAATAACGTGGCTGAAGTATGTTGACCAGACCACACACTAGAAGGTGAAGGGACGACGACGTTTCAGTCTGTCCTGGACCATTCTCAAGTCGAACGACTTGAGAATGGCTTGAGAATGACATTCTCGACTTGAAAATGACATTCTCGACTTGAGAATGGTCCAGGACGGACCGAAACGTCGTCGTCCCTTCACCTTCTAGTGTGTGGTCTGGTCAACAGAGACTTCATGTGAAAGGAAAAGTGCCCAAATGTCTCTTGTTCTGCAGAAAGAATAAAACCCAAGACCTCATTCACATTGATGCCAATGAGTGCAAGCCAATATCCTCTCAAATAAACTCAATACGGTAATCAAGGTGACTAAAACATTTTCTCTGTTGACATCCACCACTACAGCACTGCCTTTAAGAATATCACAATGGTTGGCCCACTGCTTGTCCTCTTTAATGCAACATTAAATCTTGGCTATTCCATGGTAAGCCTTTTGCACCCAAACACCAAAACCAAGGCATGAAATGCAATGACAGCAGCTCTAATAATATATGCTTGGTGTGTGGTTTCTGTTTTAAGGTTACCTTAAGGTTAAAGTCACGGGCTGCTTCCTAGGGGTGGAGGCCTGGTCAAGAACCGGGCCGCGGGGACACTAAAGCCCCGAAATCATCTCAAGATGACATCAAGATAAGATATACCTTGTGATGATTTTGGGGCTCAACGTCCCCGTGACCAAGTCCTCAACCAGGCCAGGTTAAAATGCATTACAATTTTTTTTTCTAAAAACTTTAGTGTAATTCATTATACAATATACTGTATGTAGGTATGTGTGTGTACTCGCCTAGTTGTACTCACCTAGGTGTGCTTGCAGGGGTTGAGCTCTGACTCTTTGGTCCTGCCTCTCACCTGTCAATCAACTGGTGTACAGATTCCTGAGCCTACTGGGCTCAGGAATGGGCTCTATCATACTGTATTTACATTTGACACTGTGTATGGAGTCAGCCTCCACCACATTACTGCCTAACGCATGCCCTTCTGTTAACTACTCTGACACTGAAAAAGTTCTTTCTAATGTCCCTGTGGCTCATTTGTGTACTCAGGTTCCACCTGTGTCCCCTTTGTTCGCGTACCACCCGTGTTAAACAGTTTATCCATAATTGTGTATGTATGTATGTCACTTTTGAGTACTATAGATGGAGGTCTAAAATTAACATTTGGCAATAGCTAAACATATAGAAATTAAATAAAATTAAGCACTAATAGCACAACTTGATCAAACATTTTTGCAAATACTGCATGAACTAACAAGCTGTAATCTTTCTCAGCTTGTAGCCTAGACCAAACCCATTCATTAGCTTTTGACAGCAGTGTAATTTAAATGCAGAATGATCCCTTACCTTCAGCTTTTTAACAAGACTTTCAATAGCTCTTTTGGCAAACCCCTCCGATTCTCCCCCTTGTCGATGGCACATGAGAGAATGGACGATGCTCAAACATGCATCAGCAGAGGTTGGGGCTGCAGTCATCTGTAAATGTGGATTCTATATTAGGCTACCGATAACCATTGTCCAGTAATTATGTTTATTAAATCAACACCTTTCCAATTTCAAGATAATTGCCCTGAAAGAAAAGACCTACCTAAATCCAAATTAAATACCCATGGTGCTGTAAAGACTTTAGAACCTAAGACCGCTTGTGGTAAATGTTCAGCAAAATACGTATGTTATAATATTTGTACTGTAACTAAAATAAAACTTCATTAGAAGTTTAATGAAGTTGGATTCATAAATGAACCCAACTTCATTAGGGTGCTCAAGAGAGGTATTCTCAGTTTTCTACCTTAGAAGGGTAAAGTCATACCACATTCAGAAGGTTGGTGGTCCCCAAATCTCAGCAGATTAAAAAAAAACTCAATTTCCCTCACATTATTAAGAACATTAAACATTGACAATGTTCTTTAATTATATTTTTATACATGTTTTTTTTTAGAGTGCAGATAAGAAACTCGAGATTCAGACATTTTCCAGTACAGGTATAAAGAAATCTTAAGAATCACATCTGCTTTCCAGACATTGTAATTTGAGTATTTAAAGGCAGTACTATACTAGTAGTTCTGAATCTTTACAGATTCTATGCAAGTAGTATAAGATCTCAATGTTTCCTGGTCCATGTCTCACATGGCTTGAAAAATGTGATCATAGAGCAGTGATGTAAGTAAAATCTTATTGCGAGTAGATGTATGGTTAAGATGACAACTATAGGATGACAAGAGTGGATAATCTTGAAGGGGATGCATAATGGGGTACTAAATAGTAATTACCTGTGTAATTACCTAAGTGTAGTTATAGGATGAGAGCTACACTTGAGGTCTCCTGTCTTCCCAGTATTCTTTTACATATAATGCTTTGAAACTACCTGTACTGACAGTTTTGGCCTCCACCACCTTCTCACTTGTTTAAAAAAGAAACATACCCTACAATTTCTGTCCCCCACCCTTTCCCACCGGGAATTGAACCAGGGATTCTCGATTTTGAGTCAAGGACGTACTACAATCCTTGATTGTAGTATCTAAAGGAAACTACAGGTGGTTTAATGGTTCATGCAAAGGAGCTCACATTTGTACTCAGCCAAACTCATTTGTATACATATCTAACCTTAGCTTATAACAATCTAGCAATCCCATGTGGATTGTGGTAATCGTGTGTGTGTGTTGAGTGTGTGTATATTCACCCAATTGTGTGTAATAATAGGCACAGATCCCAGTCTCTGGATATAGAGCCCAAGTACTGAACTCTACCTCTAAACCAATTTATGCCAAACACACCATGCTACCTTACATACTAATATCAGATGTTAATGGTCAGTAGTTTCCTAGATACAAGCCACTGTACATAGATGTACAGTTCTAGTCTATAGTGGGCCTGGGAATAGCAAAAAATGAATTTACCAAACAATATGGAAACAGCTAAATATTACAACACCCTGTTCCGTAATACGAGATCTTAACACTCAATGCTTCCAGATTCCCACTGAACGTTGAAATATCTGACTCGAAAGCTAGTTTCTGGATACTCCCAGTGCCAAATATCCTGGACCTAAACATACTATTCAAGGTGAATTGCCCAATAGTATGGAAATGAAGCAATGTATGACACTGATCATAATATACATAGGTATAATAGCAAAATTCCCTCATAAATGTTAAATGGCAACATGGCATCCAGACACACACGCGCAACAATAAATTAGGAACATTTTCTATCATCTCCAAGGGGTCTTACATATACAGCAACAAATCAAGTATTCTATTTTAGAACAGCAATGAATGTCAATAACTGTCTATGGTAGATTTTAATCGTTTGATAAAATATTTATCAATATTTGGTAAGTGTTGTATTTTTCCCAACCTAACCATGATAATCCTTCCATATACAGGTAATTCTATACTTCCATTACCAAACTACCATCTGCATCCAAGTTTCCAAGAAAGCAGAACCCAAAACCACCACCACCAGGCACAGAAACAGAAACAAGATTTTTTTTACTGCAGAGCTTTGATTCCATTTCAAATGTTAGGTCATAAATCGGACAAAAATAGTTTTCATTAGCTTGTAAATGTGTTGTTCTCAATAGTGTATGTTGTTTCAACATTTAATGGACTAGTGTACAGCATCTTCATTTTCTTTTTAATAAAATTATTTTATTCAATCAAACTTCTCTCTAAACAATTAAGCCAATTCAGATTTTTAAAATGAAGAGGCATTGATAATATACAAACATGTGCCATGAATAAAATAAAAATCTGACTAAAATAAAAAAAAAATAAACGAGAGTAATCAAGTACACAGACAAAAGACTTCCAGTAGATGTAGTGTACTGAATATGGACTTCTTGGGCTTTTGATAAATTACCATACGAGCTTGGTTATCCGAAGCCCACTAAACCAGATATTTGGGTTATCTAGCCAAAATCACATCCGGATAAAACTTCCCCATACCCAGACAGAAATCTGGATAAGTGAAGATTTGGCGGAATAACGTAGATCGGCATAGTTTTTAGTCCAGATCATTTTCTAGCAAAACTTTGTCATATCCGGACAGAAATCCTCATAACTGGAGATTAGGTTACAAAAATTTCCAAGAACTACTTATTTCAAGACATACAATATCAAACAACAAGACGAACTACAACAAGGTAAGCTTAAGTTTCTGTTTTAAATTACATTTTTTTATTTATAGTCAAATTTTCTTACAATACACCTGTTAAAACATATTTTCATTTTTGCTAGAAATTACCCACTTAAAATTATATGTTAGATTAAGGACCTGCCCAAAACGCTATATGTGCTAGTAGCTTTACAAGAATGTAAAATCATCAATGCTACGTACTCTCATAAACCCAATGTACCTTCTTGTATATATACATAAATAAATAAAAAATAAATAATATGTGTGGAAATTTGATATCCAGATGTCTGGCTTATATATTGTGAGGGTACTTCCCATATAGTGCAGATAAGCAAGGTTGGTCAGTCCCACACAAAAGATTGGCACTGAAAGTGCACACACACATGAAATAAACATCAAAATGCTAGAGAGGCAAAAGCAACAATTTGAACAATGAAAGCTTGATATGGAAGACATTCTGACTGGAAAAATGTCGAGAGTGGAATACTGCAAGGTTACATTTTAGGGCCAATGACACAGATGAGAAAACCGAAAACTGCATCATCAAATTTGCAGATGACGAGAGATACGTATATGGACATAACACTACACATCCTACTATATCAACAACATGACCATGCAGCAGACTGAGGAAGGTGATCATGACACCAGGACCTAGGTGTCATGATGAACCAGCCACTGAAAGTTACTCAGCATGATAGACTGGTAAAAAGATTTACCACAGTCTGCTATGTTAAAGCTACAGTATCGACCAAACCTTAGACGTCGAGATGAAGAAAGTGTTTATTCAGATAGAGGCAGACTAGAGCTTTGAATATCAGGACTTTTGAATCTAAGCATAGAGATCCCATCTTCAATAGGAAAATGTACAGCACAGTGACATAAAATTATCCCAGAGCCAAGTCAACTCTCCTGCCAGATGTGGTCGAGGGCCTCACGACTAACACTAGTACAAACCAGACATGACAAGAGCTCATCTCCTCAAGACCATTAAAATACTGAACAATTTGGATGATATTAATGTGACCATTACCTTAGAGGGGTGATATAGCACACACACTCAAGGCGGCAACAGCCTTAACCTCAACACAGCCACAATGTACGACAACACAGGAGATGCTTTTTAACCCAGAGTAATAAACTTATTGAATTTACTAGCGAATGAAGTAAGTGCCAAGACATAATTTCAATTCAAAATTAAAGTGTAAAAAACTAGCCAACGGCTTCCTGTCTTGTCCACACGGGAGACATCTCCCGTCACGCAGGGTGCAGTCGCACCTCCACAGATCTCCAGTATTATCGACTGATACTGGCAATGGCTCAAAAGGGCCACCACTTACGGGCTACTCATGCCCGTGCCACCTCTTGGGTGGCTTAATCTTCATCAATCAATCAATCAATCCTGTCTTGCCCAGGACTTCATAAATGGTGGCCATCAGCTAAATAAAGTTACAAAAGTAATTTATATTAGGAACTTTCATTGGTAAAATATTCACATCTTCCCCTAAATAAATGCCTTGTAAATCTCTCTATTTACAAGCCACCAAAGCCCTAGGTGTTGCTTTTACCCCAAGACTTGAGAGCCTAGGCTTGTTAGGCTGCCTCAGGCTCCACACTCTCAGGCTCCACACCACTCTCTCTCAACCACCACTCACACTATATTAATAGTCAAAACATGCACCAAACAAGCTTAATCCCGACCTATATACTTAACAACTACATAGGCCTACATGGCAAGACCTGTCTACATAAAAACACACAAATTGACTAGGCCAGTAGGCCGAGAGCCCGAGCAGGACCTACCTTCAGAAGATAAATCCAGACGGGCTACCAGCACACGAGGAGACTAGAGCCAGGGAGCTGGCATCTTGCAGGAGGTGGCAAATGACCAGCAGTGGTTTAAATGACCATTGTCTGGTAGGAATGACGTCTTGGAGGTGGTGGTAGTGGTGGCTGGCGTGAGGGGGTCCCCCCCTTTGGTTCCTCTCTCTCTCCCTCTCTCTCTCCCTCTCCTCTCACCCTGTCACCATCTCCCTCACTCATCAACCATCTCCCCGCTCACTCGTACGCACCCTCACACCTCTAACACACCCAACACGTAAACTCCCTCGCGGAAAGGTTTGTATTATTTGGGGATTTCGTAATTCCTGGCGAGGCGAAGCAAAACAAAGCTGAAACAATCGCCGCTCGCCGCCGCCGCTACCATGTCGGATTGACCAGCTTAATTGGTGGGGGGCAGCATTTATGGGCTCCACGCCCTCTACCTCACTACCTCACACACACTCCTGCCCTCATATAACCTCCCTCTCTAAGTCTGGGAATTAGGTCCTGGTCTATGACCTATTGCAACGACGTAATCGCGGTGCAATTAGGTCCAATACGAGGATTTCCAATTTTATCTACATGCATTTATAAGCGTTGAATGGTATATACCCCGGGGTCTGGGGTGTGTGTAAATGGAGGGTATTTTTTTTAATAAAGCTTTTGTGAGCGACGTAATAATCCCCCTAAGGTAACGGAATTTGCGTCAGTAAAACGTTAATTGGCAACAGGAAATGCCATTCGAGTCAGGAGGTCTTTTGATGATCCTTTATGCAGTGACATGTCTCTAGCTCCCTCTACTCTTTCCTTCCCTCTTGCCTCCCTCTTTGGTATATACCTTTCTCTCCCTCTCCCTCACACATACATGTCTTACCCCCCATACCTCCTTCATGTTAGCTAGTATATAGATGACGTACAGTGATCAGCAGGGACAATAGCACGTGGTTCGATGATATGCCGTCAATATCCTCATACATGATCGATTCTCATTGAACTCCTGTTTACTTAATATAACTTGTTTTTGTATTTACTAATAAACTTAGGTATACATGTGCTGTCTTGTATACCTATACCTATACCTATATATGAAGGCCTACATAGCGTAGATCAGAAACTATAGCTTCAGTTCATCTAATATCCCCATTTCACAGGATGGTTAGTCATACATGGAACCAGGAGACAACATGAACTGCAAAGCTAGTCAACTAGCCTGCACTATCAAACCCTGAGAAGAGTACAAGAATATCGTCCAGAGTGTATGAAGTAGGTACAGAATTTTAAGTACCTCATAAAAAAAATATTCAGGATAAAGGGGGGGGGAAGACTTTGACAAGCCGGCGGTTTCCTGTCTTCGTCGAGCATAATTGAGTGTTAGTGGCCTTAAGACAATTTAAGGTAAATAACACGTATATGTATGTTTCAATAGCTGATATTTGCAACTTACGGTTTGAAGAATAGAGGATATTGTTTATCACTATACATAATTATATTACGAGAAAACAGCCATTGAAATTGAAATTGAAATAAGTTTATTGAGGTAAAATACACACAAAGGGATGAGGTAGCTCAAGCTATTCTCACCCCATTAGAAAACAGCCATTGATAACAAATTTATAAGGGAAAAAGTCGCATACCGTTATTTAATATTCATTCTCACTATAGAGTTAAGAGTTTGACAAATAGGAACAACTATATATTAGTCAACTTTCCCATTATCATCGACACAACTGCATCTATCTCACTGCAACACAGTCTCCATGTAGTTGGCTGTATCTATATTGTTATATATTCTCCGTCGTGTGAGCCAATACTATCGTAATATGTTTATTGTTTGTGATGTGTGTCTATGTATGTATTAACACGATGTACTGAACGGGGTGAGAATAGCTTGAGCTACCTCATCCCTTTGTGTGTATTTTACCTCAATAAACTTATTTCAATTTCAATACTCTCGCCCTTTAATACATTTTTCTTTGTCTTTAATGGAGAAATACTCTACTTCATGTCTTCATCGAGGCCACTTGTGAGATGGTGAACCGCAGGCAAATTAACTCAGGTAATTCAGATAAATTTATTTACAAAGTTTCATGCCATTTGGACTAAATAATTCTCTTTGGGTGTCTAGAGAGAAAGCCTGATCACTGTCTCCATCACCGTGTTAGGAATGCTTGTCAGTGACACTTGTTTATAGTTTAATATCCACTTATTTTAAATATTTGGGCAATATTTTTTGTCAATTTTCTGGAGATCTGACGTTTAATGTTCAGTATCCCACTATACTATGCAGGGTCGGTGTTCGATCCCCAATGGTCCAAGTGGTTGGGCACTGTTCCTTCCCTCCGTCCTGTCCTGTTTCCCTTCCAAGTGCTATGTAGTCATACTGGCTTAGTGCTTTCTCCCTAGTTGTTGTTGTTTAAGATTCGCTACTTGGAACAAAAATTTCCAAGTAGCACGGGCTATGGTGAGCCCGTTGAGGCCTTACCTGGCACAGTAGCTGGGCTCGCTTTCTCAATATTACCTTACCTATGTAGAGTAACCTGAATTTACCTGAGGTCCAAAATCTCTATTGGTCTCAATGGACATAACAAAGGGGATATTAATAGGGTATTAAAAGTATCAACACAAGACAGAACAGGAAACAATAGGTATAAATTGGATAAGTTTAGATTTAGGAAAGACTTGGGTAAATACTGGTTCGGTAACAGGGTTGTTGATTTGTGGAACCAATTACCGCGTAACGTGGTGGAGGTGGGGTCCCTCGATTGTTTCAAGCGTGGGTTGGACATGTATATGAGTGGGATTGGGTGGTTATAAATAGGAGCTGCCTCGTATGGGTCAATAGGCCTTCTGAAGTTGCCTTTGTTCTTATGTTCTTATGAAACAGGAATCTGGTCACTTGTCATATTACCTAGAGCCCCCTTATTCTCATCTTCTATGTCATCTTATTCTCAATCTATTCTTATAGATTCTCCGTAGTAATCTACGGAGAATTTTTTGTTGTTGAATCTTGAACGAAATTAGCGGATAGGCTACTACATAGGTTTATTATCTTGTGGGTGAGATGCATCTTATGTTTTCTGTCGTAAATTGCAACTTGATGAGTTTAAATTTAAGTTGTTGCCTCTTGTATGATTTACAAGAGTCAATTAAAGTTGTCTTTAATAATATCTTCCCAAAAGGGGTTGGCCCTAAAATTAAACTTTGCGACACTCCACTCACAACATTATTCCACACAGATAATTTTGTATTTACGGCTCTTTGCATGCTTTTTTTGATTAAAGTTTAATTGATTACTTTGATTCTAAAGATTAAAGTTTCTTTGATTCTGCCCGAAACGCTGCGCGTACTAGTGGCTTTACAAGATTGTAATTACTATGCTATGTATCCTCACAATCCCAATGTACCTTCTTGCATATATATAAATAAATAAATAAATAAAAGTCTTCGCCCATTTAAGTATGTTTTACCATTTATTCCACGAGTTTGCAGTTTCTAGGCTAGTTTTTTCGTCTTTTACCTTATCCAAAGCTTCAGACAAGTCTATGTATGTAATAACACGATGTACTGAACGGGCTGAGAATAGCTTGAGCTACCTCATCCCTTTGTGTGTATTTTACCTCAATAAACTTATTTAAATTTCAATTTCAAAGTCCATGTACATTACCCAAGCGTGTGTGTGCTGCTGGCAGAGCCTATACCTGGGAGTGAGATCCATATAGCTCCTTATGCCCCGCCTCCTGGTCGTTGATACCTCCCGCGCTAATTACCTCTCTCATCATTAACGTTTTCATCGTATATTTTCTTCAAGTTGTGAATAGAGTTGGCTTCAACAACCTCCTCCTTCAACGCATTCCAGTACAAAGAGTGCTGGGAAGACGGGACACCACGAGCGTAGCTCTCATCCTGTAACTACACTTAGGTAATTACACTTAGGTAATTACTTGTCGTACAGAGAGCGACACGATTCTTACAACACTTCGACTCAATTGCGTGTTCAGAAAATGTAATCAAGTTCGTTAGGCAGGATATAAATATATATATATTACAAAACCATGTTGCGATGCTTTTTACAAGTTTGTGCAGAGAGATGATAAATTGTTTCCATAGGATTCACTCCGTGAATTTACTGATGTGTGTGACTGGGCTGATTGGTCTGTAGTTTTATGCTGAACCTCGTCCAAGGGGTACAGTCGCAAATGTATATATTCTGGTTAATAGTGTAACTGAGTGGCCACGTCTGTGGTAGAAAATAATCGAATCAATCATCAACATTGGCCATGGCCGGCGGAGATGGGAATCCTGCCGGCGGTTATTGGGAAAGCTATATAGGCTTTTCCTCATTGTTTTTGATGAGGTTTTCAAGCAGTATTTGAAATTGTAGCATTAAACTTTATATCCTTTATATATTTTAAGTTATAAGGGAGGGGAGAGGACGGGAAAGGATGTGGAAGAGGGAGAGGGGTAGAAATAGCCTAAGCTACTCTATCCCTTTGAGATGTTTTTTATTGTCTAAATAAACGTACTTGAACTTGATGTGGAAAGAGGGGGGAAAGGGGGAGGATGATGGGGTAAAAGGAAGAGAGAGAGAGAGAGAGAGAGAGAGAGAGAGAGAGAGAGAGAGAGAGAGAGAGAGAGAGAGAGAGAGAGAGAGAGAGAGAGGGAGAGAGAGAGAGAGAGAGAGAGAGAGAGAGAGAGAGAGAGAGAGAGAGAGAGAGAGAGAGAGAGAGAGAGAGAGAGAGAGAGAGAGAGAGAGAGAGAGAGAGAGAGAGAGAGAGAGAGAGAGAGAGAGAGAGAGAGAGAGAGAGAGAGAGAGAGAGAGAGAGAGAGAGAGAGAGAGAGAGAGAGAGAGAGAGAGAGAGAGAGAGAGAGAGAGAGAGAGAAGGGTTAATTGAAGTTGAGAGGAGAGAGACAAACTATCCGGGCCATCGCTGCTCGCCGGGTACTCGGATACTCTTCTTCTAGTGGTACTATAAACTACTACACAGTAAACCAAAATTTGGTATGGCCCTCATCCTGTCCCCCCTCCCTCTTCCCCCCTCAAAAAAATATACGACCCCATATTTGCTATGCCTTATAATTATATTTATAAAACTTAAGCAAAATTTGTTTAACTTGTGTTGAAAAACACGATTGACACGATTTGATAATGGTCCAGGGCGGATCGAAACGTTGTTTATATACGGGTTTGTGTTGATATATTTAATAATAATAATAATATTAATAATTTTTATTCACAAGAAGGTACAATGGGTTGGTGAGATTACATAAGATTGGTGTTTTTACATTCTTGTAAAGCTACTAACACGCACAGCATTTCGGGCAGGTCCTTAATCTAATATTACAGGTAAGATGAAAAGGTACATTGTGGCAAAATTTTATATCACATATAACTACGATATCAAGTGACAAAGGTGATTACACTGGTGAATATGTCTTAAGTACTAATATTGGGGAAGTGAAGGATAGGAAAGGAACTATCAGGGGGAAAGCGCCAAGCCATTAC